ATATTCAAATGTTTCTGACTTTTGCTTGATTAAGTAGATATACCCATATCTACTATAGTCATCGGTAAAAGTCACATAGAAGCGGTTCCCATCCTTTGTGGTTGATCTAAACGGTCCACATACATCGGTATGTATGAGGTCCGATAGACCCTTACCCCTTTCACATATACTAGTGAAGGGTGACTTAGTCATCTTTCCAAGCAAACAAGATTCGCACGTGTCATCTTCCCTAAGGTCGAATGACTCCAACACTCCATCCTTTTGGAGTTGGGCTATGCGCTTCTTGTTGACATGTCCAAGACGACAATGCCACAAGGATGCTTTATCCATACTATTGTAAGAATCCATGCATAAAACATCATTTCCTAGGTTATCTACAATCATAACAGTTTCATAAATTCCATTACATGGTATTGCTTCAAAATATAAGACACCATTTAGATAAGCACAAATAGAACCATTCTCATTATTAAAAGAAAATCTAAATCCTTGTCTAAACAAACCATGAAATGAAATGATGTTTCTTTCCATTTCTGGCGAATAGCAAAATTGTTCAAATCTAAACATAAACCATTCCTAAGCACTAGAGAATACACTCCAATCTTGGTCACAGGCGACGATCTTCTGTTCCCCATGATTAGATTTATTCTTCCATGCTCCACATCCCTATTTCTTCTTAGTCCCTGCAATTCAGAACAAATGTGGTAACCACACCCGATATCAAGGACCTAAGAAATAGCATGAGATGAATCATTAGATTTAATTGTATATATACCTGCGAAAGACGGCTTGATCTTTCCTTCCTTGATAGCTTGCAGGTACTCTGGGCAGCTTCTCTTCCAATGCCCTATTTTGTGGCAATGGTGGCACTCTGCCTCCTTTGGGTTAGAGTTAGGCTTAGCGGGATCTACTTTGGTCCCACTAGAGGATGAATCATCTCAAGGACTTTCCCTTGCGGTGGCTCTTAGATGGAGCCTTCCTCTTCTTGCCTCTTCCTTGCCCAATGGCCAAAACAGGAGGAGCGGGTGGATTGGGAGTGGGTGCAACGAACTTGTCCTTGAGATTGCTCTCAGCAACCCTAAGGAGACCTTGGAGCTTACTTAGGGTGACCTCTTCTTTGTTCATGTGGTAGGTCATCCTAAATTGGTTGTAACACGGAGGCAAGGAGTGAAGCACCATGTCGATAGCTAAGTATTCCCCAAAGTCAACATTCAGCTTGCGAAGACGATCGACATACCTTTGCATCTTTTGCAGGTGCACGGTTAGAGATTCACCATGACTCATTTTAGCGGAGATCATGTTAGTGAAGATCTCGTAACGTTCTTTCCTTGCGTTTTGGTGGTATCTCTCCAACAAGTCTTGGTGCATTTCGTACGGATACATGTCCTCGTAGGACTTTTGGAATTCGGAGTTCATAGTGGCTATCATGATGCAATGAACCTTCGTTGCATCACGCTCATGAGTTTCAAAAGCGGTAATTTCAGCCGGAGTAGCGATTTCAGGATTGATCTTTTCGAGCTTCTCATCGAGGACATACTCCTTGTCCTCGTAGCGAGCAATCGTGCAAATGTATCTTATCCATTCGCTAAAGTCCGTCCCATTGAAAGTCACCTTTTGGCAAAGGCTCATCAATGTGAACGAGCTTGCAGCAGCGTTGTTCGCGTTCGACATCTACAAATAGAAAGGACAAAGATAGATTAGATTTTGGATCCCTAATTATCACCCAATAAGAAAATTAGGGCTAGGATCCAACAACAATATTTACATATTAGAAAAGAGATGTCGTAATCTAACATGCAAACAATTTGAAGGTATGTGAATGACGATTCACTAATTCTCCACCATGAAAACATAACTTTAAGTTCTAAATGTATTGAGAATTCCTAGGTTTGGATGAGATTCATTGAAAATTTTCAATGGCATGTTTAAATCTCGATATGCCCCTCTCATTTGTGACTGGGATGCCGAGGATCACCAAGTGGGTGTGAATTACCATGCAAATTCACATGGTGCCTTCATTGTAACAATCACCTATTTGATGTGCCAATAAACTACACACGCTCCATCGAACTATGATAAACAATGAATCACCCTTTGCCACTTTTTCTTAGAACTAATTAGTGTGCCGGTAAACCACACACGCTCCACTAACTTCTTAGCAAGGGTGAAAAGTGTAATTTCATGGGATTGCATCAATTCACTTTTCCTAAAGTAACTAGGATTGGGAACTTTTTTGAAAAACATGTAGTTACTTTGTATTTCATATTATACTTTTAATGAGGAGATGAGATTGCCCTATCCTACCCGTTCGGCTAACGACCCTCCACCGATCAAGCAAGCGGTGGGTGTGAGTGTACACCCATTAAGCGCCATTTTATAGGCAGCAACCTTATACCCACCTTATAGACCAGCTTCGTGAATGAGGCCTACTAACGGTAAGACTAGCCTTTTAATTATACATACATATATATATATATATATATATATATATATATATATATATATATATATATATATATATATATATATATATATATATATTAATGTTGTAATATTATATTAGTATAGAGTTGAATTTTAAACTTGTAAAATTCTAGGGTTTGAAATATAAATTGTCCAAATTAAACTTTTAATCATAAAACATAAATTTCAAAACTTGAGGGCAGGTTTAAACTTTTCAAAACATAGGGGATCAAATAACAAATAATCTTAATTAACATTTAATTACATAATTATCCATATTTGATTTATTTAATTATTTCTTGCAAAACAATTTACCAATTTAATTAAAATAATTAATCAATTATCACATAAGGAAACTAATATTTAATTAATTGATAAATATCTTCAATTAGGTCAAGGATATACTAAAATATATTTTAAAATCAGATTTATATTGATCTAATATGATTAATGGTAAGTATCCAAAGGATAAACAGCAAGAAATCCCGAAATTAGCTCTTTCTGACGCTCGAACTCGCCGAGTTGAGGCCTACTCGCCGAGTCCACTATGGAAATCGCTGAGTTCATCAGACAGGAACACAAAATTCGATTTTGCAAGCATCAAACAAGCAACCAATGCATCAATTCAATAGAAACCAATCTAGGCTCTGATACCACTGATGGGTTTTAGCCATATGAACATCCCTATGTGCACATACAAAACCCTAATGCTTTGATCTAGGTTTCTCTAATTGAACATGCATGAATCCAAGACTTCTAATGGTTATTCTATCATAATAACATTGAGAAATCAGAGTTATAAGTTTACCTTGAATCACTTGCTTGATCTTCTTGTCCTTGGAGCTTTAGAGTTACAATTGTCACTCCTCTAATGGTTAAACACCAACTAGCAAGAGGATGATTTGAGAGAGTGGGGAGGGAACTATAAATCGGCCAGGGTTCTTCCAAAAGTAAGAGTACCGATTTCATCAACCCTATCTCTCTATTTATACTTGTAAGGCTCCTAGGGTTTCACCTTTAAACCCTAATTGGATAACTTAGGCCCTAAGCAATCCTAATCCCCTTCATGATAATCATTGGACGGATTTTATGTCTATCCTAAGCCCCTAAAATCGTCCACCCCTTATCCATAAGGGATTATAGCCTAAAGTACAACTATCATACACTTGACAGTTTATGCCCTTCTATTTAATTAATCTCCTTAAGTCACCAAATTAATTCCTAATTAAATTATGACTTATATTAATCAAATAACAATATTATTATTCCTTATAATATTTCTTCTCTCATTGTAAATCATCCTATCAAGTTGCTATGGTGAAGGCAACCCAAAAGGACCATGCTCAATCGGGTCAAGTACTTACCAAATATAGTTGCAGCCTTAGACACTATTCCAACAATTACACCATATATACCAAATGAAAATCCATTAAGGAAAAACTATACTATAATATTTTTTTATGTTACGTACTAACAAAAGAATCCATCAGTTGAATCCTAATTAAGAAAATTTGCAACTAAAGCTAACAAACTTGTCAAAAGGATCAACTAATTCACGAGCTTTCATGTAGACCCCGAAACTCCCAAAGCACCATGCGATTATTCATGTCTCCTAAAATTAATAAAAATTTTATTTTTGTTGTTAGTATTATTGTTGTGTAGTGAAAAAAATTATAAATTTAAGTAACCTTTAGATGTGGACGATTCACTTCGATCGGAATGTAATTTTATGTTCACCCAAGTTCTACATGAATATATATATATATATATATATATATATATATGTATGTATGTATGTATGTATGTATGTATGTATGTATGTATGTATTATTGAAGTAAAAACTAAAATAAATATAGTCATTCAACTGAATTACTTTACATGCTTACATTAGAGATGTCATTGAGATGGTTTTTAGCAATAGGAACCAATGTGTCATTCCATGTATTCACCACATTCATTTTCATATCAAACCGTTTCGTAATCTTTTCCCTAATTGCATCAAGGATATCAAGCACGAGTTTATAGCGCAATTTACCAATCCAATAATTAAATGTTTCAGAAATATTATTAGTGATGTAATCACACTTGGAAGTAGTACCAAACTTGCTTGTACTTCATGTTTTGTTGTGGTTATTTAGATATGCAATTGCATCTTCATTTTTATAACTAATTTCCTAAAATAATATGTCATGCTTGGTAGGATGATAGGTTTTCACGGAAGCCTATAATTTCTTGTTAAAGAAGTCACCACGAAAGTGCTTCTTGAAGTTGCTATATAAGTGCCTTATACATTCTCTAAGCTCAATATTAGGAAAAACATTCATCATGGCTACTTGTAACCCTTTTTACATGTCTCATGAGATAACAAAACCATTTGGCGTTCCAATTTTCTTTTTTGAGTGAGTCAAGAAACCATGTACATTATTGTGTGTTTTTTGATTCAAGAACACAATATGCTATTGGAAAGATAGAATTGTCACCGTTAATACCAGTTGCAGCGGCTAGTACACCATCGAACTTTCCTTTTAAATGATAAGCATCAAGAGCAATATACAGACGACAACCAGCAACAAACCCTCTAGAACAAGCCGATAAACAAATAAAGAACCTTTTGAAAAGTTTTTTTTCCACCAACTATGTCAAAGTCAATTTCAACAATGCTTCCTTCGTTCCTTCATAATAGTTCTTCTCTAAATTCATTAATCTTCATGAAAGAGTCTTCCCACTTATAGTACATGTCAGTATAAGCTTGCTCTTTCCCTCTAAAAACTTTTAGGTATGGCACATCAACATTGTAAGTTTTCATAATCCAATTTTTATGCTTATATGGAGAGACATCCCCATCAGATTTCAACTTGTCAGTAACAACATTAGTAATACATCTTTGAGTGATGCTTATTTCCACCCTTGTTGCTTCGAGTGTAAGTATGTACTTCTACCATTTTCATAACCTAAAACAAAATAATTAAATAAAAATAAATATATTTTTAATATAAAGCATGTTAAATATAACATAAGGTATACACTTACTTCAAAGGTAACTTCATCTTGTGTAATAGAAGCATGGATTCTCCACTGGTACTCTAGGTTTTCACACCTTGCTGTGAATCGCGTCGGGTCACTTTTCATAATGTAGTAGTTAAACTCATTTGTGACTGGAGAGTGGTTCAAAGCGCTCCTAGAATCAACAATATTTCTAAATTTTGAGCCGACTTCCATGCTTATACTATTCTTACTAAATGAGTGAACTTCATCATCATCATTCATTAGATTGTATTCATTATCAGAATTGAGATGACTATGATAGCTTTCTTCACTAGGACAAATGTCTGCATCATACTCATCATATGGTTCATATTTGTTGGCACACAAATGGTTAGTAAGGTTATTAGAGCCGAAGTTATTCTCTGTTGTCACATAAATGGTTACTTGTTTGTCGTTTCCATACATGCTAAGCATAGTCATGAACTTTTCATTAGAATCAAGCTTAATAAATGATTTTTTTGGTGCATACTTGTCAACATAAAGAACGGAAAATTTTGGGTTGTTCTTTGATGAATAACATTTTGTCACTTCTTCATGTAGTTGACTTAACTTGTATAAACATGTGTCAATGTGGATACATTTTTGAGAGCCAAAGCAATATATTTGCCTACAACTATTCTTTGTTAGCCGAAATTGAAAATTAATTAGAACTTGGATGTTGGTATACGCCTGAAACTGAAAATTAATTAGAGAAACAATCATACAATTTAGTAAAAGTTTAATAAATTAAAATTAAGATATCCACATAAAGATACTCGATTATAAGAGACGTAGCCTTGCTCTCCCATATTGGTTTTGATGTGTAATGAAGGGTATTATTTTCTGTTTGAGAATGATCTTTCGACATTGGTTTGTATTGTCTCTAAAACATAATTTTAAGTCAGCGATAAGAAAACAAATATATAAAGGTATAACAAATAGCAGACATATGCTTTATAATTCATTTATTAACATTGGTTTGTATTGCCTCTAAAATGTAACTTCAAGCACTTGAGTTAGTTCTATTTCAAGATTGTAAATATAGTAGCTTCAAACAACTAAATCACAAAAAATTGACACAGTGGAAAGAATTCAAGATTGTAATCAAGTATAAGTTTCAACATATTATTGGCATCAATTATAGTTTTTTAAACCGTGAAAAGACTTGTATTCGAATCCCTGCCAATTATAATTCAAGATTATAAATAAAGTAGTTTGAAACATCAAGATAGCAACTTTTCAATAGATTCACGTGAACAAATCAAACAACATCAAAAACAAAATTAAAGAAAGGCAAAATAGGAATAGAATCGTTTTTTTTGTTTACTTGATGTGTGGAAGTGATGCTATAATAGGGGGAGGCGCAATGGATCGGAAATACTAACAAGGAGTAACGATCAGAATTAACATGCTCCAACATGCACGTGAAATACGAATGCAGGGTTGCGAGAAGTGGTATTGAAGTTTACAAGTAAGGGTATTATTGTCCATCATGTGTTTATTTTGAATTATAATGAATTAAGATTATAAAAAAGGATAATAAATCAATAAAAATGAACAAAAAATAGATTTGGGTATATATGATATTAAAAAACATTAAGAATGAAAAATACGATATTTAGATGCTTAGTAGGGGTATATATGAAATTTTGCCGAAGTTGTATTATTTACAGAAGTTTTTTAAAAAAATAAAATAAAAGGAGAAAGAAAAATTTAATGAAATTAACCCGTTGCCAGCTATCCCACCTTCCTATTGGTCAACAAAACTCGGTATATATTAGTCGTGATGCTAAACCGAGGGATCGGCCCGATGTGCGACGAGGCTGTCAATCCGACACCCACCAGCCTAATAATTCTCATTTTTTAACATTTGAGTTTGATTAAATTCATCTAAGAAACAATAATGATGAAATCGAATGAATTGTTGTCTCTAGAAGAAAATAGTAAAATTTAATTAATTGCTGTCCCTAGAAAATATAATTTAATACTAAATTGCAAAAAGAAACTAGTTCTTTTACCAGCCGTCGTGCTCCCATGTAATCAATCATCCACACCATACTCTTCCATCTTTGACATATACAAATTCAATAAAATAATTCCATCACTTCTCACTATAAAACGTCCAAAACCACAATCACAAAAACATACCCATCCAAATTCGATTCAAAGATATAGAACAACGAAGACCATGGACACATTCTCCAACGTTGTCTTTCTATTCTGCGTGGTGGTATCAATCGTCTTCGCCTCCGCTGATGCTGCTTATGGAGTTGCTAAGCTGCCGGAGATTCCTCACAAGATGAAAGAGAAGGAAATTCCTAAACCCATTGCAGTTCAAGGCCTAATATACTGTAAATCCGGCTCTAAATTCATTCCACTTAAAGGTATGTATCTCACAATTTCGTATATTTACATGCATCGTACTAACTTAATATTAACAAACTTCATATGGTATATATATTTTGCGTGTATACAGGAGCCACGGCAAGAATAACTTGTTTGGCAAGAAACCAAAAGGGATATGAATCAGCACCATTCTCCATCTCAAGTTGCCCAGCTGATGATAAGGGATACTTTTTAGCCAAACTGTCCCCTCCATCGACCAAGTTCCTAAAGAATGCTCAGTGGGAACTCAAGGAATGCAAGGCCTTCCTGGAGAGCTCGCCATTGAAGGACTGCAAGGTTCCTTTGGATATTAATGGAGGGGTTAAGGGTGCTCATATTATTTCTTCATCGACTCATCGTCTCCTTAAAAATGCAAATCTCTATTCGCTCAAACCCTTTTTCTACACCAGTGATAAACCAAACACAGTCTCCGACAACAAGAAATATTAACAAGAGAATATGGATTTACTTTTGCAATATTTATGATTCCTTTTCCCTCTAATTTTTAAATGTACTTTGTTCTTATATTTCCCTTCCTTCTGTTGTGGTCGTCGAAGAAAATTTCCTTTTTTGTCTCAACAAGATTTTTAAATAATTTTATGATATAATGTCTTTTTGATGTATTAAGACATTACACTTTGAAAATCTAATATATTTATAAGTTGTATTTCTTTTTCGTATTCATCATTTAACTTTGAAACACTAAAAATGTCATAAGGTACTTTTCTTTGCATGTGTTTTAATAGACTATAAGAATATTCATCTTATGATGACCAAAATTAACATAAATTATAATCACTTGGAAAGCATTAAATTGTATTTTTTCCCATCGATTCATCAAAAAAACTTGAAACATGAAAGACTTGTCAATATAACAACTAACTTTAACCAAAAGATCCAACTGGGATTCAAATCCATACATTGTCTGTTTGACTACAACTCCATCTTGTTTGCCTACAATTCCATCTGTTCCCAAAACATTGTTACCACTTACTTCCATTTGTATCACATCAGTTAATAGCTTGTCAAATGAATGCAAACTAATAACAATGTGATTACATTTCATTATCAAACAAAAACACCATTAAAATGCTATAACATGAATGCATCTATACTGACAATAAATTAGTCAAAAAAAACTTTTTAACTTACAGATTTGCAAATCATGGCCATCTGGATAGTATTAATATCTCGTCCCATGGAATGCTTCATGCTCTCTCAGTACTTTATTAAAAGCAAGGGATCTAACTGTAGTTTCGTCCATGCATTATTAACATACTAATATTGTGGCTTGTCTTGGAATACAACACCTAGCACAAACGCATGTTACATCCAAAAAGGAGTAAATATGAAGCAGCAAGAACAGAAAGAAATATTCAAATTTAAGAAAATTGATGTGAATTAGAAATAAATTCAGGATGTGAATGTAACAACTCATAAAAGGAATGGAATCAGTTGGTTCAAATATGGTGGAATATAGGGGACACATGATTTAAAATTTAGGTTGAACAAGAATCGGTTGTATTAAACCAGATAGAAAGATAGAAAATACCATCATATTTATCATTAAATCGAATATGATGTGTTAGTGGCTGGAAGAGTATGACAGCAGTGGTTGGAAGTGTGTTAAGAAAGCCATGAAAAAAAGTGTTTGAAGTACATGTTCCTCCGATTTGACCTTAGGAACAGTCAACAAAGGAAGAGGAGGTTTTTACCTAGATAAATGAAATCGAAAGAAAAAATGAGAATGGGAGGGGAGAGAATGTTTTACGCTGTGAATAGGAAGAAATCTGGTAACCACCACCTCTCCGCCGATGTCATATGCCACCACAACTGTGTTTTCTTTCCCATTCTCGGTTCATCGCTAGCCCATACACACAGACCATCTGGGAAGTAGGACGACAGAAGCCATGGCGGAGGTGGTGGCCGATTCAGGTGATTAATCGCTTGTAGAGAAAGGGAAATATTTTGTTTAGAGAGCGAGAGAAGGGAAGAAAGGCGGTGTGTATCTTCTCGTAAGAAAATGGGCGTGAGATGGTGGGAAACAGGGAAGGAAGGAACACATGAGAAGGAAGTCAAAGCAAACACTATAAGACACACTGGAACTTGATGTGCTCTTATGAACAGTATAATAACATTTGTGAAATGTTAGTTTTTAAAATTCAAGTGCAAGTTCTTATTGCTCACATTATAGCAATAAAGGACAATGATAATCAAGATGATGTTCAAATTTTGATGATATCGAGTTCAAACCATACAAGCTATGCAACAAGAAATTGTCTTTAGCGACAAGGATTTTAGTGGTTATTAGTAGTGGCATTTAAACAACTCGTCTAAACGTTGCCACTAGTGGCGTCGCAGCTAAAAGCGAAATCGTTGAAAGCTTTCGGTTGTAATACGTGTGAAAATGAAACCGTGGATCATAACGGTTGATAGATGGGATGGTATCCCCTCTCGATAACCATCTTTTGCAGCGACGGTAATTACATTTTTATAGTACGGATAGGGATGCAATTTTTACATATGTATTACCTGTTTTAATCAATGTTTTAAAACCCGAGTTTTTTGTTGACCCAATATTATGACCGGTTCACGGGTCAACCGGTTCAACCGCCGGGTCAACCCGGTTTATAGTATTTATCTATTTATATATATATTTAGTTTCATGCATAATGCATAAACATATAAAACCAATAATTTAATGTCCACAAAGTTTAAATATTTAAAAACATTGAAGAAACCGCAAAAGGTTCGTTGTTTTAGCGTTCGCTACTTGTTTCCAACTATCCAAACCCTATTAAAACAGGTCAATCCGGTTTTAACCGGTTAGACATAAGCGGTTGAACCGCGGTTTAGAGGAAACCCGCTCGGTTCGTATTTTTACAAAAAACCGGTCTCAATTGACCCGCCTTCTACCTCGGGTCACGGTTCAATCGGTTGAACCGACCGGGTCAACCCGGGTTTTAAAACATTGGTTTTAATGGGTAATGAGGTGGGGACGGATATCATATATCATATATATATATATATATATATATATATATATATATATATATATATATATATATATATATATATATATATGGAAAAGTGAATATACCCTTAAGGGTATGTAAGCCTAGATATCCAAACTCACCATACTAAGTCGTTTTGCGTCATATAAAACATTCTAATTGTCCAATGTTCTTATAATTTAACTTCTAACTTGATGTACTTCTTAGATTTTTGTAAATTACATATTTATCTTCCTCTTACATAATTTTCATTTTCAACTACAATATATATATAGCCTAGTAGATATTCGGCAAAAAGATGTGATTTAAGAGAAAGTTAATAGTGAAATTTTGAATATCTTGAAAGTAAATCAAGTTAAAGTTGAAGTTTAAGAAAATTATAATAAATATATAAAAGAAAATGATGTATTATCGTGTGTTTGGGTAGCTAAGCTTATATACCCTTAAGGGTATATTCACTTTTCCCATATATATATATATATATATATATATATATATATATATATATATATATATATATATATATATATATATATATATATATATATATATATATATAAACCACCCTTCATAACATATCCATAAACCATAATAAAATCAAGTATGATCAAAACATCTAAATATGTCAAAGTAAAATAAAATGCGGAACATTGTGATGTGTGCGATGCGATCACCCCAAGCTCTTCCCTTTGGATCTAGAAGTACTTCAAACATAAATTGAAAACTGTAAGCACAAAACTTAATGAGTTCCGCAAAATACCACGCACCATATATAACAAATACATAACCAGTCTCGCCCATCATTTGGCCCCTCTGGGAACAGATTTGTCAGTAAATAATAGCATAAACACATGCAAGAAAACATACATGTTTGTCATAAATATAAATAGCATACACGATAGTCATCAGGCCTCGCCTGGAATTGGGCCCCGCCCAATATACATATCAGAAAACATACATGGAGAGTCACGCAAACAACTAGCATCCTAATCATAATAAACAATGGGTTGGCGTTGAAGCCTTCGACCCACCAAACACAGTGAGGAAACTCACCGCAAGCAGTTGCATCTCACAGATAAAATCTCGGTTTGCTAATCCGAAAAATCCCCCGTTAACTATGTCAGATAATATCCAATTAATAATTGGGTCTCAACTCATAATCAAAAATCTAGATTACTTGTCCAACATCCAGGGTAAAAGACCATTTTACCCTTTTTTTAATTGCCCAAAAAACAAGGGCAAACCCATTTGCTCAAAAAGCCCAAATGTCTAAATGGCATCCTAAAGTTGGAGGTCTAATGGCCCAATAAAGCCCAAATCCTAACAATTCAAAATATGGCCCAAACCGAGAAAGTCAACCGAAACTAAAGGTCGCTGAGTACGCCTAACGTACTCAATCTTATGCCCCGTCTTCAACCTCGATGGCCATTGCACACAACGTACTAGTTGGATACACACAGCGTACAATGCAGTTGACCAAACTTCACCATTAAGGACTTAATTGGTTAAGTTACTATGCCAAATTCTCATATCCGATCTCAAATGGTAACTTAATACGTAAAGTTGGCAACTTTACTCCCATGCACGACTTAATGGGACCCAAAACTCAAAAAGAAGCCTATTAAGGGTCCTAACACATGTTGGTGTGATAACTGTTG